AAAACGTACGGAGCGCTAGTGTTAGCAGCGTGAGCGCGAACGCAAAGGGAGACGTTAGCGACGCGCGCGCGAAAGGAGGCGCGAGCGCGAAAGGAGACGCGAGCGGGATAGCGGACGCGAGTGCCACGTTGAAGATGCAGGGTGGGAGCGGGAAGGAGGGCATGCAAGTCGGAAACGCGAAGGCAAGCTTGCAAGGCGTGGCTGCAAGGGAGAAGGGTGCAGAGAAGGGTGCAGAGAAGGTCGTAGGTGCTCGTGAATCAGCAGGGCCCACCGTCCCCCCTACGCCTTCATCCGCACCTGCCTCCGCACCTGCCTCCGCACCTGCCTCCGCACCTGCATCCGCACCTGCATCCGCACCTGCCTCCGCACCTGCATCCGCACCTGCATCCGCACCTGCATCCAAGGCGACAAGTACACCTGCGCCTGCACCTGCTCCCACTGCTCCCACAGGCCCTACCAGTCCTCCTTTGAAACCTAAGCCGCCTGCTGCCACCAAGCCTTTACCACCTTCTGCAGCCAAACCCTCAATGCACCAGCCCCCGCCTCTTCCCCTGCCCCCCCCTCGTCCCCAGCCTTCCTCTCTTTCCCAAACTCCACCTCTCTCCCAGCCTCCACCTCTCCCCCTGTCTCCCACCAAACCGTTGCTGGCGACAGCGAAGGCACCGCCAGCTGCAGCACTCAAGCCACCTCCTCCCCTGGCTCCTCCCAGCGGCCCAGGGAAAGCATCTCCGCCAGCAGCCGCGCCAGCAGCCACGCCAGCAGCCGCCCCAGCAGCCACGCCAGCAGCAGCAACAGCAGGAGCAGCAGCGCCAGTAGCAGCGCCAGTAGTAGCGCCTGCAGCAGCGGCAGCAGCAGCCCCAGTAGCAGTAGCAGCAATGGCGGTGGCGCCGCTGGCAGCAGCACCAAAATCATCAGTTACTGCCTCTCCCAGTAGCACGGGGAAGGCAGCTCCGCCAACAGCGGCACTCAAGCCATCGCCTCCCCTTGCTCCTCCTTACAGCGGCCCAGGGAAAGCAGGTTCAGTAACACCAATGCCAGCAGCGCCAGCAGCAACGCCAGCAGCTCCGCAAGCAGCGGCTCTCAAACTGTCGCCTGCCGTTGCTCCTCCTCCCAGCGGCCCAGGGAAAGCAGGTTCAGTAACACTAACGCCAGCAGCAACGCCAGCAGCTCCGCAAGCAGCACCCAAACCCTCATCTTCCCCCTCCCCCAGCTTGACAAGTAAAGCAGCGCCAGCAGGAGCAGCAGCGTCAACGCCTGCAACAGCAGTGCCCAAGCCCTCATCTCCTCCTGCCCCCAGTTCCACAGGTAAATCAGCGCCAGCAGGGGCACCAGCAGCGCCAGCAACCAAGCCCTCATCCCCTCCTGCCCCCAGCTCCATGGGTAAAGCAGCACCAGCAGGAGCAGAAGCAACGCCCAATCCTGCCAACAGTGCAGTTCCGGCCAAAGTTACTATTAGTACGAGTCCTAGTGCCAGTGCCAGTGCCAGTGCTAGTGCTAGTTCCAGTGCAGTGGCAGCTTCGAAAGTCAGCCGAGTTCAGTCAACCCACCCTCCTCCTCTCCCTCTGCCTCCCTCCAAACCCACTCCATCTTCCTCTCAACCCAATGTGGCTCCGCCTGTCACTGCTCCACTCGTTAGTCCTGCCCCCGCGCCTACTGCTGCATCTGCCGCTTCCCGTCCTTCTGGTGCGAATGCTGCTGCACCCAACCCCCCTTCTACTGGTGCTGCAGCTGCTGTTTCCAAACCTATCACTGCCGTTTCCAAGCCTGCTACTGCTGCAGCTGTTTCCAAACCTGCTGTGGCGGTGTCGCCGACTGCTGCTGCCAAACCTCCAGCTGCCAAGCCTGCAACTGCTGGTGCGGCCAAGCCTCCACCAACACCCCAGCCTGCCCCTGCCGTAACCAAAGCACCCACTCCTCCAACTTCTTCGTCAGCCAAGGCTCCACTAACACCCCAACCGACCACTGTCTCCCCTGCAGCAACAGCAGCAGCCAAATCACCCACCCCCCCCCCTACTGCCGCAACCCCTCCCGCTGCTGCTTCTTCAAGTGCAAGTGCATCTGCATCTACCCCTTCTCCTGCCCTTACGCCTGCCCGTGTTTCTGCCCCTGTGCCTGCCCTTGTTTCTACCCCTGTGCCTGCCCGTGTTTCCGCCCCTACACCTGCCCGTGTTTCTGCCCCTACACCTGCCCGTGTTTCTGCCCCTACACCTGCCCGTGCTCCTGCCCCTACTCCTGCCCGTGTTCCTGCCCCTGCTACAGCTCCCACTGGAGTCCAGCCGTCAACAGGCAAAGGGCAGCCAGCAAAGCCACATCCTTCAGCTGTAGCAGCGAAACCACAGCCCTCAGCTGTAGCAGCGAAACCACAGCCCTCAGCTGTAACAGCGAAACCACAGCCTTCAGCTGTAGCAGCAGCAGCAGAAGCAGCTGCAAAGACTGTTCCAGCTGTAGCAGCTGGCAGAACGGGAGTTCAGCTGGCAGCTGTAGCGGGTAGAAATGCGGCAGCCATAGCGGGTGCAAATGCTGCTACTGCAGCAAGTGCAAATCGGTCAAACACAGGGACAACTGTAGCTGGTGGGAAGCCAGGACCAGCTGTAGCAGCTGTGACTGCAGGAAAGCCTGGTCTGGGGACTGTAGCTGCAGGGACACAGGGAGGTAAAGAAAGTTCTGCCCCTGTCATGGCTGTAGCGGCTGGCAGGCTGGGAGTGCAACCTGCAGCTGTAGCGGGAGGAAAGTCAGCGCCAGCTGTAGCAGGTGCAAATCCAGGAACGGCTGTAGCAGGAGGGAAGCCTGGACTACCTGTAGTGGGAGGAAAGCTGGGGCCGGCTGTAGCAGGAGGGACGGCAGGGCCAACCATAGCAGGCGGGACAGCAGGGTCGGCTATAGAAGGTGCAAAGCGGGAAGAAGCTGCAGCTGCCATTGCAGCAGCTGTAGCTTCTATAGCAGCTGCAAGAATGGGTGCAAATCCGGTGGTGGCAGTAGCTGCACTGAGTGCTACAGCCGGCTCATTTGCTGCAAATACACAGTCTGCTACAGCTGGGAAGTCTCGTGTAGGGCCACAGCCCGCTACAGCCGGCCCGTCTGCTACAGATTCACGGATTAACGTAGCCCTCGTGAAAGCTGTAGCTCCTCCGACTGCTGTAGCACACCCGATAAAGGCACCAACACCACCACCACAAGCAGGGTTTCAGAGGGGTGTGGTACCGTCAGGGGGGGGTCAGCAGCAGGCTGTAGCGCAAAAGGCACCGCCTGTAGCGCAGAAGGGTGGAATAAAAACAGGGGGATCGCAGCAGCCTGTAGCACCGCATGCTGCAGCCCAGCAGGCTGTAGCGCAAAAAGCAACCGCTGGGCAGGCAACAAAAGCGCCTGCTGGTGCTGTTGCCTCAAGGCCACACGCTCCATTCCCGTCCCTGCACCCCCCAGCAGCAGCTCTGGGCTCTCAGGGAGTCTCAGCGGTCAGTGCAGGGAAGCAACCCCCAACAGCAGCAACACCTCAGCAGCCAGGAACAGCAGCTTCAAATTGGGCAAATGCAGGGACGAGTGTATTACAGCAACCCCCAGCAGCAGCAGCTCCGGGCTCTCAGGGAGTCTCAGCGGTCAGTGCAGGGAAGCAACCCCCAACAGCAACAACCCCCCAGCAGGCAGCAGCTGTGGCAGCGGAGGCACAGCAGGCAGCTGCGGCAACTGGTGTGAAGCAGGCAGCAGCAGGGGCGACTGAATCCAGGCAGGCACAAGCAGCAGCAGCAGCAGGTGCACCAAAGCAGCCCCAGCAGACCCAGCAGCCCCAATCAATCCTTGCAGCGCCGCAAAAGCAGTCTCTTCCATCCTCCACGTCGATCTCCCTGCCCGCCAAGCCAGCAGCTCCGTTCCTTGCACGGTCCTCGTCATTCCCACTAGGGAGGGCGGCAGCAGGGCAGCAGGCCCCTGCAGGGCAGGTCGGCAGGTCGGCAGCCTTGCAGCAGGCTCCAGCAGCAACGATCTCCCAGCTGGTTGCTCAGAAGAAGCTGCTGCAGGCGCCTCTGGGGCGGGCTGCAACTGGTGCAGGTGGTACTGCTGGTGGCACTGCTGCTGGTACTGGTACTCCTCGGGGTGTTGTTGGGGGTGGTGGTACTGCTGGTGGTGCTGCTGCTGCTAATGCTGCTGGTGGTGGTGGTGTAGGTGGTGGTTCTGCTGGTGCTGCTTCTGGTGCTGCTTCAGGCGCTGCTTCGGGTGCTGCTGCCAGTGCTGCTGCCGGTGGTGCTGCTGGTGCTGCTGGTGCTGGTACTGGTGCTACTGGTGCTGGTACTGGTGCTACTGGGGGGGGTGTGCTACAGGTGTTGAGGCAAGTGCAAGCGCAGAGGCAACAGGAGGCCTTGCAGGCCAAGGCTCGGCAGCAGGGAGGGCAGCAACAGCAGCTCCAGAAGCAGCAGCAGCAGCAGCAGCAGCAGCAGCAGCAACAGCAGCAACAGCAACAGCAATTACAACAACAATACCAGCAGCAGCAGCAGCTGCAACAGCAACGACAGCTGATGCTACAGCAGCAGCAGCAACAGCAACAACAGCAGAGGCAACAACAGCAGCAACAACAACAGCAACTACAGCAGCAGCAACGGCAACAGCAACAGCAGCAACAGCAACAGCAGCAGCAACAACAGCAGCAACAGCAGCAGCTGCAGCAACTACAGCAGAAGCAGCAGCAGCAACAACAACAACAGCAGCAGCAGCAGCAACAACAACAGCAACAAAAAGCACAACAGCAGCAGCAGCGGCAGCAACAGCAACAGCAACAGCAACAGCAACAGCAAGCACAACAACAGCAGCAGCAGCAGCAGCAACAGCAGCAGCAGCAGCAGCAGCAGCAGAGCCAGCCTACACAGAACTTGAAGCAGGCTGTGCGGGCTAAGAGAGTGCACGACCCAGACAAGCCCACCAGGGGAAGGGGAAGACCTCGGAAGAACCCTATAAAGGAGAATCCTAAAAAGGAAAATCATGTAAAGGAGAGCTCTATGAAGGAGAACCCTGTAATGGGGAATGCTATAAAGGAAAGTTTGGTAAAGGCTCCAACAGGGGGGGGACTTGTTGTGTCATCTTTGGGGGTTCAAGGGGAGAGGCAGGAGCAGCAGCAGCAACAGCAGCAGCAGCAGCAGCAGCAGCAGCAGCAGCAGCAGCAGCAGCAGCAGCAGCAGCAGCAGCAGCAGCAGCAGCAGCAGCAGCAGCAGCAGCAACAGCAGCAGCAGCAGCAGCAGCAGCAGCAGCAGCAGCAGCAGCAGCAGCAGCAGCAGCAGCAGCAGCAGCAGCAGCAGCAGCAGCAGCAGCAGCAGCAGCAGCAGCAGCAGCAGCAGCGGCAAGAGGAGGAAGCGGTGGGAAAAGAGAAAGGAGGCGGAGGGATGGAGAACGGGGAGCAGGGAGGAACGGAGAGGAGGGAGGGATGGAAGGAGGTGCCATTGGTGCAGCAGCTGAAAGAGCAACCGCAGCAGCAGCAGCAGCAGCAGCAAGAAGCAAACGACTCTCAGTTGAAGGGGGAGCAGCTGGCAGGGGCAGGGAAGACACAGCCAATTCACACCTGGCCTGAGGAACTACCATTCCCCCTCCCCCAGTTTTCTCTCCCCAAGTTCCACCTCCCCCAACTCCCCCTCCCCCAGTTCCTTTCCCGCCCCCCTCCTCCAGTCCTCCCCCTTCCCTCTCATGCTTCCCCCGCTCCCCCTGGTGCCCCTTCTCCTCCCCCTGGTGCTCCCCCCGTTCCCCCTCGTGCTTCCCCCGCTCCCCCTGGTACCCCCCCTCCCCCTTCCGCCCCCGGCCCCCTCGGTTTCCCCCTTGATGCAGCCACGGCTGCTGCAGTGCAGCATGCAGCGGTTACTGTAGCGGATCAGGTCCCCAAAGATTCGATTCTGTGGGCGGCAGTGGCAGAACAGAAGGTGGAAATTCTGGAGAGAGCACTGGAGGAGACAAAGGAGCGAGCTGTTGCAATGATGGAGCGACTGAGGTTGAATGCCGAGGCTAAGGTGAGGGAAGGGTGATGATGAGAGAAGCAATTGGTGAGTGTGATGTTGGTGGGAGCACTGGAGGAGACGAAGGAGCGAGCTGTTGCAATCATGGAGCGACTGAGGTTGAATGCCGAGGCTAAGGTGAGGGAAGGGTGATGATGAGAGAAGCAATTGGTGAGTGTGATGTTGGTGGGAGCACTGGAGGAGACGAAGGAGCGAGCTGTTGCAATGATGGAGTGACTGAGGTTGAATGATGAGGCTAAGGTGAGTAAAGGGGTGATGGGAGAGAAGCAATTGATGTGTGTGGTGTTGGTGGGTGAGAGCAGTAAGCATCTGAGGAGACGAAGGAACGTGCTGTTGCAATGATGGAACGACTGAGGTTGAATGCCGAGACTAAGGGGAGTCAAGGGTGATGATGAGAGAAGCACTTGGCGAGTGTGATGTTGGTGGGAGCAGTGGAGGTGACAAAGGAGCGAGCTGTTGGTATGATGGAAGGGCTGAGGTTGAATGCTGAGGCTCAGGTGAGAAATGGGGTTGGTGGGCGGAAGAGGAGTGATAACACAGGGGTGCTCTATAGGGGGTGGTGCTAGTAGAGGGGTGTCCAGATGAAAGGCAAGAGAGGATTAAAGGAGGCAAAGGAGCGAGCTCTTGCTATGATGGAACGGCTGAGGTTGATTGCCGAGGCTAAGGTGAGGGAAGGGTGATGATGAGAGAAGCAATTGGTGAGTGTGATGTTGGTGGGTGAGAGCAGTAAGCATCTGAGGAGACGAAGGAACGAGCTGTTGCAATGATGGAACGGCTGAGGTTGAATGCCGAGACTAAGGTGAGCAAAAGGGATGATGGTAGACAAGCAAGGGGTTACTCTCACCTCACGTCCCTCTCAACTGTTCCTTTCCTCCCCCTGTCTCCCCTCCCCACCAGCACTAGGCGATGGAGCGAGTTTTGGAGGAGGAGAGGAGGCGGGTGGAGGAGCTGCAGTCGCTCTCCCCTTCCCCTTGCTTTCTATCCTCACCCTTCACTCCCGTTCCTTCCCTCTGTCTCACCACCATCAGCACAAGGCAATGGAGCGAGAGCTGGAGGAGGAGAGGAGGCGAGTGGAAGAGCTTCAGTCGCTCTCCGATCCCACATGCTCTCGCATCTCACTCCTCTCACTTCCTCACTTTCCTCACTTTCCTCAACCCCCTCATTCCCTCCCGACCAGCACAAGTCAATGGAGCGAGAGCTGGAGGAGGAGAGGAGGCGAGTGGAGGAACTGCAGGCACTCTCGTCACCGTCCCTTGATACCCCTCCTTCCTTTCGTTCACCTCATTCACCTCGTGGTTGCTCCCCTTCTCCCCACCAGCATAAGGCGATGGAGCAAGAGCTAGAGGAAGAGAGGAGGCGAGTGGAGGAGCTGCAGGGGCGGCTCAAAGCAGCTGAGGCCAGGCGGAACAGCAGCAGCAGGGGCATCGCTACCGTGCCTCCCCCTGTCCCTCCCTTCAATCCTCCCCATGCTGCTGCGCCAGCAGCTGCAAATGCACCTGGCGATGCTGCGCCTGCAGCTGCAGCAGCTTCTGCAGCAGCTCCTCCTGTAAGTCCGAGCCAGGCCCAGCTGCTGAAGGCCTTCCCCTCCTCTTCCAGCCTCAGTGGGGGCGATGCCACTGCTGCTGCTGCCACAGGTGCTGCTGGTGGTACTGGTGGTGGTACTGGTGCTGGTACAGGTGGTACGGGTGCTGCTTCAGCTGCCAGCCTGGCTCTTCGGTTGCCACCAGGCTACTCACTCACTGCTTCTCGCTCCTTCACACACACCACTGCTGATGGGACCGCAGCAGCAGTAGTAGCAGCACAGGGGACAGGGCATGAGTACCCTTCTAGTTCCCCAGGGGAACAATCCCAGGCTCCAGGAGCAGCAGCAGGCGCACCAGGAGCAGCACCAGGAGCAGCAGCAGGAGCAGCAGCAGGAGCAGCAGCAGGAGCAGCAGCAGGAGCAGCAGCAGCAGCAGCAGCAGCAGCAGCAGGAGCAGCAGCAGGAGCAGGCGCACCAGGAGCAGCAGCAGGCGCACCAGGAGCAGCAGCAGGAGCAGCACAGTCAGGTCTGTTACACACGCCTCCCCTTCGCTCTCTAAGCTCTGGCCTATTGGGAGTGAGTCTAGGTCTCACTAGCCCCACCCTCGGTGGCAGGGGAAGGGGCGCGGCGGGCGAGGGGTTGAGAGGTGCAGCAGGAGCAGCAGCAGGAGGTGGAGTAGGAGGAGGAGTAGGAGTAGTAGGGGCAGGAGGGGCAGGAGGAGGTGGTGCTGGTGCTGCTGGTGCTGGTGAAACGCCCCCTGTTACCCCGCTCTTAGGCCCTTCTGGTGGAAGGGAAGGGATGGGGGGTGCAGGCTTGGGAGGAGGGCTAGGTTTGGGAGCAGCAGGGTTGGGAAGCGGGTTAGGTTTGGGAGCAGCAGGGTTGGGAGGAGGAGGTGGAGGGGGAGGAGTGAGAGCAATCTCTCTCTCCCCTGCTGTGGGATTCGGCCTGCACCACCTCTTGTCTCCTCGTCGAGCACCTGATTCTCCTGCCGGTGCTGCCCGTGCTGCCAGTGCTGCTGCCGGTGCTGCTGCCGGTGGTGCTGCCGGTGCGGCCGGTGCTGCTGGTGCTGCCAGTGGTGCTGCCAGTGGTCCGGGAGCAGGAGGAGGAAGGTTCCAGCCACCAGCTGAGGAGGGGGGGGTGGTGGAGGTAGCAGTAGGGGCGCTAGACCCATCTCTGCTTGGTCCTTGGGCTTTAAGCAGGTTCTTCACTAACAATCAGAGTGTTCCTCTGCCCAGTGTGACTATACCCGCGCCGAGCTTTCCTGTACCGAGTGTGCCTGTACCAAGTCTGACTGTTGCTGCTGCTCCCCCTGCTGCTGCTCCTGCTGTTCCCTCTGCTGCTACCCCTGCTCCTGCTGCTGCTCCTGCTGCTGCCCCCACACCAGCAGCAGTGAACGCTGCAGCAACAGCTCCACATGCCACACCTCCGCTTCTTTCCTTCCCTCTCACGCACACTCCCGCTTCCGCTGCCGCTCCGCTTGCTCCTCCCGCTGCTCCTCTCTCTGCTGCCCCCCCTGCTGCTGCTGCTGCTCCTGCTCCTCCTGCTGATGCCACACCGGCCCCTCCCGTTCCCTCGCAAGAGATGCTCTTTGGTCGTCCCCTGCTAGTAGCACCACCTGCACCAGCACCACCTGCACCAGCACCACCACCAGCACCAGCGACAGCACCGGCACCAGCGCTTGCGCCCCCTGAGGCGTTTCACAAGCGGCCTTCGGGACCAATGCAGGCAGAGGCAGCGCTTTCAGGGCCGAGGGAAAGCCGGCCAGACAATTGGCAGGCTGGTGGTCATGGCAGTCCTCACCTGCAGACGCAGCAGCTGCTTGGCATCCACAATTTCCCGGTGGTGCAGCGGCAGCAGCAGGTGGGCAGCAGCAGCAGCTTTCCTGAGCAAGGGCAGCAGCTGAGTAGCAGCAGCTTTCGGGTTCCTGGTCAGCAGGTCGCGAGGATTTTCTTGGAAGGTTCTCAGGCGGATCAGGTTGCGGCCCAGGTTTCAGCAAGGGACGCTGGTGGGGGCGAGCGAGAGTGGCTGGGAGAAGGGGAGGAGCGGGTGGAGCAGGGTGGGAAGGAGGGGGCTGGTGCGTTGAGAGGGGATGGGGCGTCAAAGCAGGCTGGATTTGGTGCTTTTGCTGCTGGTGGTGGTGCAGCTGGCAGTGCTGCTGGTGGTGGTGCATCTGCTGGTGGTGGAGGGATTGGGGGTGGCGGGTTAGGTGCTGCTCTTTCCCTCGGCCTAGGGCCACCAGAGGTTAGGAGACCAGGAGAGACAGGAGAGACAGCTGACACTAGACCAGCTGACTCTACTACCCCAGCCTCAGTTGAGCCTTCGGCTGTAGCAGAGGCAGGTGGGCCCGGAATTGCAGACTTGCCGGCTGTAGCAGCTGCAGCAGGATCTGATTCTGGTGCGCCTGTGCCTGCTGCTGTTGCTGCTGCTGCTGACGCTTCCCATGCTGCTGCTGCACCTGCTGCAGGAATGGCAGCAGCAGCAGCAGGAACGGCAGGGGCAGCAGCAGCAGGATTGGCAGCTGCAGCAGCAGGGGCAGCAGCTAGGGCAGCAGGAACTGCAGCAACACCAGCAGGGGCAGCGGGAAAGAAACCTGTAAAGAAGGGACCTCTGAAGGAGAAAGGGAGCGAAGGGAAGTCTAAGGGAAAGAGTTCGCCAGGCGTGGGGAGGACAAGCATAGGAGCAGGCATACCTGGGAAGGTGAAGCCTGGGGGAGGTGTATCTGCGAAGGTGAAGGTAGGTAAGGCTGGGGGGGAAGGGAGGGAGGGAAATGAGGGCAAGGAGGGAGAAGAGCAAGAGGCGGTTTCAAAGAAAGCGATGAAACCGGCTCAGGGAGAGAAGAAGGGAAAGGGAGAGAAGAAGGGGAAGGGAGAGGCGGTTTTGAAGGGAGGGAAGAAGGGGGTTGGGGCGGAGGAGGCTAGCGGCAAGGGTACTGCTTCTGGCGCTGGTACTGGCGCTGGTACTGGCGCTGCTCCTGCAGTAGCAGCAGCAGCAGCAGGAGGTGTAGCAGCAGTAGCAGCAGCAGCAGCAGGAGGAGGAGGAGGAGGAGGAGGAGGAGGAGGAGGAGGAGGAGGAGGAGGAGGAGGAGGAGGAGGAGGAGGAGGAGGAGGAGGAGGAGGAGGAGGAGGAGGAGGAGGGGCAGGAGGGATAGCAGCAGAAGAAGCAGCAGCAGCAGGAGCAGCAGTAGGAAGAGGAGCAGTACGAGCAGCAGCAGCTGATGTGGCAGGCACTGCAGAGGATTCAGAGCATACAGAGACAGCAGATGAAGGGGGGGAGGGCGAGAAGGAGGAGCAAGGGGAGGAGGCGGTTAGTGGGTGGGTTGCAGGTGCTGACACGGGTACTGTTGGGGTAGCACCTGTTGCAACGGGGGTAGAAGGCAAAAAAGCCCAAGGAGGCGAGGGCAGAGTGAAGAAACCTAAGGAGAAAGTGAGGAAGCCTGAGAAAGGGCAGGTAGGGCAAAAGGGGAAGGCAGGATTGGGTCCTGGGGCAGGTGCTGCTGCTGCTGCTAGTGCTTCTGGTGCTGCTGGTGCTGCTGGTGCTGCTGGTGCTGCTGGTGCTGCTGGTGCTGCTGGTGCTGCTAGTGCCAAGGCGGTTGCAAAACGGGTGAAAACGGTGGGGAAGGATGGGGCGAGAGGAACAGGAGAGGGGGAAGAGGTCGAGGGGATACAAGCCAAAGTGGTGACAAAGAGAAAGGCAGCAGGGACGGATGATGGAGGAGTTAAGAGGAAAAAGGCAAAGGTTGCAGCAGGTGTTGTGGGGTTGGAGGTTGGTGGAGGTGCGGAGGGGTTGGAGGGGGTAGAAGGGGTAGAAGGGGGAATTGGGAGTGGAAGAGAGGGGGTTGAGTCGGGAAAACAGGAGAAAGGAAAGAAGCAGGGGAAGGACAAGAAAGTGAAAGTGACAAGTGGGAACATAGTGGGCAAGAGAACTTTTCAAGAGGCAGAAGAGGCTTCGGGCAGGCCAAAAAAGAAAGAGCCGAAGGCAAAAAAGGCTGGAGGGGCAGGAGAAGGGGCAGACGCTGCAGAAGCAGTGGAGGAGAATGGGGAAGGTTTTGTACCTGTTACTGAGTCAGCTAGTAAAGGGGATGAGAAGGTTACTCCCCTGGGTGGCTCGGCAGCAGCAGCGGCATCGAGTCTAGAGCTGCTGCTAATGGGTGTGGACGCTGTAAGCAGATTGGAGGAAATGGAGGAGAAGGAGGAGGAGGGGGAGAAACGATCCGATTCTGCTAATGAGGCGGCTGCGCCTGCTACTGTTAGGGAAGGGCATGCGGAGCAGGAGAGAAGGGAGGAGGCGGAGGAGGAGGAGGTGGAGGCGGAGAGAGAGGAGGAAAGGGGTCGGGAGTTGGCTGGAATGCCGCGGGTGGTGAAGAGAGCAGATGGGGTGAAGAGGAAGAGAGTAGATTCGGTAGAAAGGGTGATGGAGCGGGCTTCAGCTAGTGATGAGGCAGCAGCGGCAGGGGCGGGGGCAGGGACTGAAGTGTCGCCTAATGAACGGGGGAGGAGCAGGAAGGAAGGGAAGGGAGAGAAGAGAGAGAAAGAACATAAGGGAGAGAAGGTAGGGAAGGGAGAGAAAGGGGAGAAGGGAGAGAAGAAAAAGGAGGGACCTTCAGTCCGGGGTAAAGGAACCAAGGGAACAGAGGGTGCTGGGGCAGATTCGGAAGTTACCCCTTCTGAGGTGCGACCAAGTAAGGTGATGAAACAGACGGGTGTGAATCAAGGAGAGCCTTCAGACGCACCAGAGGCTCGAAAGCAGTACATGGGGGTGCTGCTGGGTGGGGTGGGGTTGAAGGGGGACCAGAAAAGGCAAGTGAAGAAGCAAGTAAAGAAGGGAGAAAAGGAGGAGGAAAAGAAGGGAGAGAGTGTGGTTCAGAAACCGCCTACGGGACGAATTGTTGCTGTTGGTGGGCCTAAGGGTTTGCTTGCGGCCTCGCGAAAACCTTCTACTGGTCCTAAAACTGACTCTAGACTCAAGGGTGCTGCAAAGAAAATCGCTGCTGGTACGGGCGCTGCTGTTGCTGCTGCTCCTGCTGGTGCTGCTGCTGCTGCTGCTGCTGCTGGTGTTGATGCCAATGCTGGTGCAGCTGGGGTGCTGAAACGAGCTCTGGCTATGGTGCGGGAACGGGACGGGGGAGAAGAGGAGAGCAGAGAGCATGAGGAGCAGCAGCAGCAGCAGCGGCAAGGGGGGAGTGAGGAGGAAGAGGAGCAAGAGAAGGAGGAAGAAGAGGAGCAAGAGGAGGAGGAGGAGCAACACTCAGGAATCGATGCCAAGGGGGAAGAGAGAGGTACAGAGAAGGCCAGGGGCAGATCAGGCAGTTCCGCTGCTGCTGCTGCCTTGAGCCGTCAGCGTGGTGGCACCGGTGGGCGTGGGCTAGCAGTTAGGTCTCCAGGAAAGGCTATCAAAGAGCCGCGTCTCACGATTCAAAGGCCTGGGATCCCACTGAGAGGGTCAGGAGTTACAGTGAGAGGGATGGGGCTCCGTGGTAGGTGGTCGGGAAGATGGAATGCGCGTGCTATCATAGCAGGAAGGGCTGGGGCGGGAATGAGGTATGGGGATAGGGAAGAGGAGGGTGAACGGGGTAAAGAGGAGGAGGAGGAGGGAGAAGGGAGTAGGGAGGATGAAGGGGATAGGGAGGAGGTGGGTGGGGATAAGGAGGAGGGAGGAGGCGGGAGTGAGGAGGAGGTGGAAGGGAGGGAGGAGGAGGATGGGGAAAGAGAGAGAGAGGGGGAGGAGGAGGAGGAGGAGGAAGAGGCAGTGGTGTTGCTTGATGAAGGGGAAGAGGAGGAGGAGGAAGAGGAGAGTGAGAGGGATGAGGATGGAAGGGTGGATAAGAGAAAGGGTGTGCGAGGTGGGGCGGTGTCGGGAAGAGGAAGAGGGGCAGAGGGAGCTAAGATTAGGAGAGGTAGAGGGAAGGTGAGTGGGAGAGTGGGGGGGCGTGCGGGCGGGAAGCGAGGAGGGGGGAAGGTTGAGAGGGAGGCAAAGAGGCGAAAGGTGGAGGAGGAAGGGGACGAGGATGAGGAGGATGTTGTTAAGGAAAGGAGAAAGGGAGGTGGGCAGAGGAAGGACTCGAAGCAGGGGAAAGCAAGGAAGGAGAAGGAGAAAAAGCGGCGAGTGACTGGCAAAGCGGTTGAACGGAGAGGCAGCAGTGTGAGACAAAGGCAGGAAGAGGCAGCAGCAGCGTCTGAAGAAGCAGCAGCGGCATCTGAAGAGGAAGCTTCCGCAGAAGCGGCACCTGCTGTTCCCATCACATTGTCAAACGCTGTTTCGGCAGATGCTGCTAATGATGATGATGATGATGATTTAGAGCTAAGGGAGCTGGGGAGAGGGGCAGTGGGTGTGGGACCGGGGGAAGGGGGGGTAAGTATACCCTGGGAGGGGCTTTCTTCATGGGGAGATAGGGGGAGGCAGTGGAGCGGAGAGGCAACAGAGAGAGCATCTGGAGGGTCTGGTGGTGCTGCTGCGGCGGCTGCTACTGCTAGTGGTGCTGCTAGTGGTGGTGCTAGTGGTGGTGCTGCTAGTGGTGGTGGTGCTAGTGGTGGTGGTGCTAGTGGTGGTGGTGGAGGAGGGGTGGTTTCAGCGAGAGGATCAGGGCGACGGAAGTCTAAACCAAGCTCATCAAATGCTGCAGCTGCTGCTGTAGGTGGTGCTGCTGGTGGTGCCGGTGGTGGTGCTGGTGGTGGAAAAGAGGGGGCTCAAGAGGCGACAAGGCCCACACGGCACAGCAAGAGACTGGGAGTTCGACAGGTATGTGTGTGTGTGAGAGTGAGAGGCTGTGTGGGTGACGGAGGCATGTGAATCTACATTTGAGGTGTCTCAAAAGCAAGAGAGGGCGATCATCAGGTACGCGTGAGTGAGAGCGATAGAGTGTGTGGTTGAGGTGCCTCAAAACTTATGGGAGGTGGTTAGACATGTGAATGTGTACCTGTGTGAGAGAGATGGTTTTGTTACTTGAACTGCTTGAACCATGTTGGCACATGGTATGTCGGCGCATGGTATGTCAGCGCATGGTATGTCAGCACATGGTATGTCGGCACATGGTATGTCGGCACATGGTATGTCGGCACATGGTATGTCAGCACATGGTATGTCGGCACATGGTATGTCAGCACATGGTATGTTGGCACATGGTATGTCGGCACATGGTATGTTGGCACATGGTATGTTGGCACATGGTATGTCGGCACATGGTATGTCGGCACATGGTATGTTGGCACATGGTATGTCGGCACATGGTATGTCGGCACATGGTATGCCGGCGCATGGTATGTCGGCGCATGGTATGTCGGCACATGTTTGTCGGCACATGGTATGTCGGCACATGGTATGTCGGCACATGGGATGTCGGCACATGGTATGTCGGCACATGGTATGTCGGCACATGGGATGTTGGCACATGGGATGTCGGCACATGGTATGTTGGCACATGGTATGTTGTCTACTATGTGTGTATGAGTGATGACCTTGTAGCTTGTTTGTATTGTGATGTATCCAGTTGTTTTATCTCTAATCTGTGTGTGTGTGCTTTAACCCGTATCCCCTTGCTCTCGTTTTTTGCCTGGGCAGTCAATTGGAAAGCGATGGTACGACGATTAGAGCCTGTTAACTAAGTAGAACGATAACAAAAGAAACCCTTAACATAGTAATCGCTGCTTATGTTTTGTCATAGCAACTTGTTTTGTATTCTGATTGAGGTACCTTCATGGGTTGCTAAGTTGCTAATCAATCATCTAAAAATGCAAACCTGTTTGAAGAAAAGTCAACGAACTAAATGTGGAGTTCGATTGTGGGGATGCTATAGGAGGCCATGTTCCAATATCTAAACATGCAAGCCATTGACAAGAGTCTACACTAGGGCTAATTTTTTGTTTTGAGCAACCCTTGTGATCAGTGTTGCACCTGTTCAAAAACCTGATTATCAGTGTGACACCTTGTTCAAACCCTGATCCATCAGTGTTTTCCTTTTTATTGAAAATACAACCATGTGGCATCAGTGTACCAGCTTTTCAAACCCTGGTGTTTCTGGCCAATGGTGGCCCACTTCGTGCCTGCACATGTATTGTCGGGAATCCCGGCCCACGGGAAAAGGGGGGTGGGGGAAGTGGTGGTGGGGGGGGGGGGGGGGGGTATGGTAAAATTCGATATGAAGATCGGTAACCCTAAGGCATCAGTGTGCCTTAAAACCCGAGACTAGAATGGCTACTCTTCAAGTTCAAGATTCTTGAACTAGAATTCGCTACGGAACCAGGTAACCCGTTCCTGAACACCCTTCTCTCGCAGCCCCCAAAGGGGTGATTGGAGCCCTTGTTTTTGATTGGCTGAAACTACACAGCCAAACCTGTCACTCACACGCTCCCCACTTCTCACAGTATATGTACTTCCATTTGTCAACGTCGCTCTGGTCGCTCCACGACCTCCCAGTCCTTGGCCAAAACTTCCACCGCTCTTTGCGCTCGCCTCCCTCCCGTCGCCTTTTAGGTGGCGCTCCCTTCCCGCGCCCGTCGCCCACGCTTACTTCTAGTGTCGCCCACGCTTACTTCTAGTGTCGCCCACGCTTACTTCTAGTGTCGCCCACGCTCTCCCATCCCGTCGCTCGCCGCTTTCCCTTCACTTCGCAAAAACTTTTCCTTCCGTTTGCCCACGCGATTCCTTACCGACGCCCTCGCCTAGCCTTCCCGTCGCCCTCGCAAATCCTTCCCTAGCAATCGTAGATCGTGCTCGTCGCCCATGACCCTTGGATCAGACTCCCTCGTAACCTCCCTTCCTTCCCTCCATTCGCCTCCTTTTACCCCTCTCCCGTCCCCCACAGGACAACTCCCATCCATCCCTTTCCCCTCGCGCAGGTTCGCGATCATCGCTCCGCCCTCCCGTCCCTCATGTCGCCTCCGTCCCGCATTTCCTCTCGTGTTTCTCTTCCCTCCCGTCCCTCTCGACCTTCTCCGCCGCTCGCCTCAGCCCCACATTCGCATCGCTCACTCGATCCCTCCGCGCACTCCCTTAGGTAATCGCGCTCAAACCCACCGCTCACAAAGGTTTGTCACCTCATCGGTTCCGTCGCTCACACACCCACGTTTGACACACCCGTTCCGCACACGCCCGTTCTGCACACTCCTCCGTCGCACACTCACTTCGTCGCTCAAGAACTCCCGTCCCGCAAGGTTTGATCCTGTCGCTCTCGTTACCCGTTGTGGTCCGTCCATGTTCGTCACGCGCCCATCTTCGTCGCTCCCATTGTTCGCTCACCCCCCTCCCCTCTTCCTCCCTCCTTCCCCTCCATACCCTGCCATGCGCCAACTTCTCCGCACCAATCTCCGCGGAGAAGTGCTGCGCGTAACGGTGCTGCAGATCTGGCTGGCGCTGATGATCGAGGACCCGCGCGAGGCGGTTCGGCGGCCGCAGATGGGCATGGCGGGTGCTCTCACTACGATTCTGCCGACCCCTTCCTAGAGGTGCGGACGATGGGCGGGAGGGAAGGGAGATGTGGGGGAGGGGAACGAGAGGGCTGTGAGAGGGCTGGTAGTGGGCTGGGAGAGGGCTGGTAGTGGGCTGGGAGAGGGCTGGTAGTGGGCTGGGAGAGGGCTGGTAGTGGGCTGTGAGAGGGCTGGTAGTGGGCTGTGAGAGGGCTGGTAGTGGGCTGTGAGAGGGCTGGTAGTGGGCTGGGAGAGGGCTGAAAGAGGGCTGGGAGAGGGGAGGGGGGGAAAAGGGCGGGGAAGGGGGGGTAGAGGGAGGGGGGGGGGGGGGGGGGGGTGGGGGGAAGGGATGGAGGGGAAGTCATACACAACGAAATTGGGTTCTTTTGCGGCGAGATTGCAGATTCATTCCTCGAGGTGCACCGGGGAAGATGGGAGGAGCGAGCGGGAATAATCGCATGGAGGGGGGGTGGGGAGGGGGAGGAGGCAGGTGGAGGGAGGGGAGAAGGGGAGGGAGGGAATGGGGAGCTTGGTTGGTGATGAATGTGTGAGGGTTTCACAGCGAGATGAAATGTGTGGTGACGGGGATTGCTAGTAGTTTTACCTTTTTCAAGTTTCAACCCCTCTCTCTTCTCCATCCCTGCGCCACCCATGCGACATTGATCACAACAATGTGTGCACACATTGTGCACAATCCGAGGTGACTTTTGAGTCGACTCAAAAGTCATGCGACATTGATCACAACAATGTGTTGATCACAACAATGTGTTGATCACAACAATGGATCACACATTATGCACAATCCTCTCCCCTTGGCCTCCCCGCCTCTTCCCCTCTGCGCCATCCCCGCCCTTTCCCTCCCTCTCCTTTCTCCCCTCCCCCCTTCCCCTTCTTCCCCCCTACAGCCTGTAGGTGTGCGAGCAAGTGTGCCTGTATACCGCTGGTGCTGTACAAGCCAGTGTTGAATCGTCTCAACCCATGCCCACACTTTCCCCTCTGTACCATCCCTGCCATTCCTGTCTGTGCCACACATCCCCTCGGTGAGCTGCAGGTGCGCGAGTGCTGTATGCCAGCATACGGCATGGTTCTGCCGAAGCTTGACCTCCCATGCGACGTCTCATAACAGCCCCTCTCCACTTCCCCGCACTCATCTCTTCCCCTGCTGCAGGTGTGAGAGGACTTCCACCCCTCTTCAACACCCCTCTCCCCCACCCCTAAACTCTCTCACCCTCTCACACCTATCGCTCACTCACACCCATCACTCACTCACACCCATCACTCTCTCCTCTCATCACGTACTCATGCTTCCCGCTCTTCCACTCCCCACCCTCCCAGCCACACGTCCTCCTTCCTAACCTGCCCTTCTTCTCCCCACCTGTGCCTCCCTTCCCTCCGTCTCACTTCGCCTTTTCCCTCGTTTTTCCCCCCGTCCCTCACAGTGCAGCCTGTCTCGTGCCTTCACTCTCAGCCCATCTCTCCCCGTCCTTTTCTACCCATAATCTCATTTCCGCCTCTGCCATCTTTTCCTACTCGCCACCCTCCCTTCCCCCCCTTCCGTATGCGCTGTTTCTCCCGACTCTCACCCGTTCTGCTCCCACTTCCGTACACACAGCTACCCCACTTCCCCTGTGCTGCTCCCACTTACCTCCTCGCCTCGAGTTTCTCACTTCCCCCCTCACACGCCCCTTGTAATCTCTTGATAAACCCTACCCCTTCGCTCCCTTCCCTTCCTCTCTTCTCGTCCCTGCCCTCCCTTGTCCTCTACTACCTTCCCGCCCATCTCCACTCATCCCTTCCCTCTATGCCCCTGTCCGCTCCCCCGTTTCTCATTCCAGGGATTTTCAAACTGTGCCCCTGACTCGCATCTCACAGAATGCATGTGCAGCACCAACACTCACCGTGCGCGAGTGTGATCCTGCAGAATGATAACGGGCATGACATGGATTTTTGAGTCGACGCAAAAGTCACCATGATAACGGGCATGACATGGATTCGGCGAGCTCGTTTAGGGATCATGGACTTCACACTGCTTCCCCCTCCCTACTCGCTGCTTCCAGATTGCTCATCCCCACAATCCCGTTCAACCCCCACATACTCCCTTATGCCATATCTCTTGAATCACCTTTCTCGCCGTGTCACCCGTGGCCTTCCACCCGTTTGCACTTGCCCTCCCCTTCTTTCCTCTCTCAATACTCCCTCTTTCTCTCCTCGCCTTACCCTCCGCATCCCTGTGCATTCTAATGTGGAATGCATTCCGTTTCGTCATTCCCTCCATCACTCTCGTTTCCCCCCTTGTCCTTCCCTCCGTTTCCCCACTGTCCCCCCCTCCCTATCCCCTCGTCCTTCCCTCCGTTTTCGCCACTATTTCTCCCGCCTTTCCACCCTGTCCGGAAGACCGGTTCCCCCCTTGTCCCTCCCTCCCTTCCCCCGCTGACCTTCCCTCCGTTCCCCCCCTCCCCCCTCCCTCCCTTTCCCCCGTGTCCTCCCTTCCGGTTTTCCCTCTGTCTCACCATCCCTCTCCCCCGTGTCCCTCCCTCCGTGATCGCCCATGTTTCTCCCTCCCTTGCCCTGCGTCCTTCCCTCCATTTCCCCCCTTACTCTGTGCCTCCTCCTACGCCTCAATCTGCGTTTCATCTCTCTGCCTTTTGCCAGCCCTGCCCGTCGGCACCTCCTCAGTCGTGCTCTCCCGACCACCCCCCCATTCCCTGCCACCCTCTGCCCCCCATCGTTCTGCCCATCGCTCCGCACAACTGCCCGAATGGGCGGGGGGAAGATGGCTCGTCAGGTGGAGCGTTGTCGTGTCCTGGCGGCACACATAGTAGGCCAGCCTGCACCAGAGCTCGCCCCTCGGCCCACCCTGGCTGTGGGGGTGACAGGGATGGACTCGCGCCAGCTCAGGCCTGGGCAGGCAGGGCAGGCGGGGCAGCAGCAGCAGTATGCAACGCTGGTGCCGACGCGGCAGTTCCGTGCTCCCGTCCCACTCTCTCTCTTGTCGCTCACACTCGCTCCCATACCCTCTCCCCCCCCTTTCTGCAGGACTATCCCCACATAACTTACGGGCCAGGACATGCATTTGCATCCCCACTACTCTCCATCCGCCCGTTGATTGGAAGAAGAGTGACAATGTGCACCAGATTAGCCGCACCATTTTGTATTGCGACAATGACAGGGTTGGAGCAAACACATGGGTCCATCCATGGTGTAAAATGTAGTGTTGGACACGTATTGGCATATGATGCCACCGAAACACACAGTTCCGTGCACTGCGTGTTTTAGGGATGGTTGTCGTGGTTGTAAGTACGATGTCAGAGCTAGTGAGGGTTCTCTGTGCTTGTTGTGCATAGTAGTTTAGTTTGTGTACCCCCCAACATCATGTGCACCTGTATATGGCGAGACAGATTTGGCTTGTCGATGGATACATCCGGAAGAACCTAAAGTGAAGGGAATTGTACCGGAATTCCACAACTTCAACGCCGACACTTGCGTGTCATATTGGCTACCTAGTAGCTTGAATGAAAAGGAAGAAAGGAAAATAAAGAGTGCTATAACCATAGCCATTTAGTCAGCATACTCAGGATCATGTAAAGGGTACGATTGCACCCAGATACTTTGGTCATTTGTCAAGGGAAGAACGTCATAGCGCGGTCTTGAAGAGGTGACAGCAGGGACGGGAGCAGGAGCCTCCGAACCAGGGCTGACTTTTCAAATAAAACCACTTTGATTTTTTGGCCCCCCAATTTTTTTTAGTCTGAGGCTCATTTTCCAAAAAGTGAATACTCTGATTTCCCAGGAACCAGAGAAGTATAAGTCTGAAAATTTTATAATTCAGAGACAAAGACAGGTTTTCCTACTAACGAGCCTTTTGCACAAGTTCTGAGGGATGGGTTTTCCTCGAATCGAAGTAACGGGTATGGCGAAGGGGAGTTCGTACTCTGTAGTATGAAAACTCATTATCCGGTAAGCAAGTTATCTGACATTTTCAGTATCGAAAAAAACCATTAGTCTGAAGCACTCATTTTTTAAAATCAGCCAACTCTGAAGAATCAGGAATGTCAGGAATGTAAGCCCTGGCCAGGGCCTGTGCTAGGATTTAGGGCACCCTGTGCCCTCAGGGCAACTTTTGATAACTTTCCAGTATGGCCTGATTTTTCAGGGCAAAATTTTCTGGCCATCCTGAAATTTCAGGGCACCAGCAGAAATTCATCTGGATGTTTCAGGGAAAAACAATACAAGACACTAGAGTGGAAGATAAGGCACGAGAGGAGCAGGTTGTTCAGTGGTTTCACTACAACTAGCTGAGCAAAAACCTTGGAGGGGGAGAGATGGGGACAAAACTAGCACACACACCCCCCAGCCTCCTTCCTCCCCTCTCCCTCTCCCTCCCTCCACCCCTTATTCCCCTTCCAACGAGTCAGGGCATCCCTCTACATTCACCCTAACACTTCAGGGCAAAATTTCACTGCCATTCTGAAATTTCAGGGCAAAACACAAAAATCATCCTGACGTCACAGGGTAAATGTCAGCTTCATTCTGAAATTCCAGGGCACACTTAAAACACCATCCTTAATTCAGGTCTCAGAATAGGAATGCAACGGAATGACCAAAACTAGAAAGTGTGAGAGTACAAATATGCAACCCTAACAACTGTACTCCCTATTGTGCTACTCACTATAGCCTACAAGCATAGAATTACATTTGACACACCCCCATAGGCTAAGTGAGGGGCATCAAAGAAAGAAAGGTGAACAAACGGTCACAAGACCAGTCAAAGCAAGAAACAAGGCAAGCTCAGGGTGGATCTTAAGGACACCACACAAATTCCGAGCGCAAGCAAGCGGCCACAAGGCCAGTTCAAGAGTTCATTAGGATATAAATACCGTAGGAAGCACAACAAGCAGAGCAAACAACAAGACTACAGCAACCGAGGGCCTACCTCAACAAGCCCCAACTGCACACAGAACCTGTGGTGATCACCAAGCGCCAAGGCCTTGGTGAAGACGTCTGCAGTGTTGGCCTCTGAGGCCACAAAGTCCAGGCGAGCTTGGCTGCGTCGCTGCAGCTCTCGCAGGAGGAAGTACCTCACGTCAATATGCTTCACTCTGCTCTCCAGTCGAGGCTCTCAACATAGGAGGATCATGGCCTTGTTGTCAGCGTACAAGGTCGGTGCAGAGCGAGGGCTGTCACCAAGGTCGCCGAGCAAGAAGGTCAACCAGCGAAGCTCCTGTGCCGCCATGGCACCAGCGTAGATCTCTGCCTCTGCACTGGAAGTAGCCACAGAAGACGACCGTGTAGACCTCCACGACACAGCACCAGCTCCTGAACTGAAGCAGTAACCCTGAGTCGAGCGCTGAGTCTCCACGTCGTCAGCGTAGGAAGAGTTGCAGTGACCAGTGAACACCACTGGCTGAGTCCCTCCAAGCACAAGCCCCATGCCTGATGTAGTCGCCAGGTACTTAGCCACCCTCACAGCAGCTGTCCAGTGGACAGGACGGTGTCTCCCAGTCGCAACAAAGCGAGAGAGGATGCTGAGGGGAAAGGCGAGGTCCGGCCGAGTACAAGTCATCAGGTATATGAGGCAGCCCACAAGCTCTGCGTAGGGGCCACTGGGCTCAAAGGGCTCGTCAGGAAAGGGGCCAGTGAGTCGGTGGTCAACAACAAGAGGAGTGGGCTGTGTGGTGGAGAACTGGAAGTCGAACCGCCGAAGGACCTGCTGCACCATGTGTGACTGCGTCAGTGTGATGGTGCGAGCGGCTCTGTCCTTGGTGATCTGCAAGCCAAGGTAGCGCTGCAGCTCACCCAGGTCAGTGCACTTGTGTCTCTTCTGCAGTTCGGACTTCACCTGAGCCAGTGCTGCCTTGTCTGCGGTAGCAAACACCAAGTCGTCGACGTAGACAAGGATAAAGAAAGGAGTAGAACCCGCTCGAACAAAGAGCGACGGGTCGGCGGAGGACGGGCTGAACCCAAGGTCACGAAGTGTGGAGCGAAGAGTGTCGTGCCACTCACGGGGCGACTGGCGGAGAAGTCGAGGGAGTGCAGCTCGTAGTCTCGCTGCGCTGCTATGTGGAGTAACACCCGAAGAGTAGTCATCTTCGGGGTCGGGGCGAAGGTCTGGAAGAAGTCAACTCCCTCACGCTGACAGAAACCCCTAGCCACGTAGCGCGCCTTGAACACCGGCGGTGCTCCAGGCGGCCGCTTCACCTTGAAGAGCCACATGTCATCGACTACGTTCGCCCTGGGAGGGGGAACTGCGTCGACGTAGGTGCCTGTGGATCTCCAAGTCGCCAACTCTGAGTCCATAGCCGCTTTCCACTGAGAGGCCCACGCCCCTGACACTGCCTCGCGGTAAGTGCAAAGAGTCGGTATGTGAAGGGCGTCGGGGTCTCCCTCAAGGGAGAGCAGCATGGCACACACAGAGGGAGAAGCGGCCGCCCAGTACTCCAGCTCAGACTCTCTGTCCTCTATGACGTCACAGCCAAGGGCAAACCCACCCTCGACGGACAGAGGACGGGAGGGAGGAGTTGGCACCACACGGGTGGCGTAGTCAAGGCGGCTGGCGGCAGCAAACTCAGCGACAGCGGCAGTGAGAGCCGAGGCAGACGACGGAGGGAAACGAGAGTCGGTGACGAGAGTGGCGAGGACACGTGCGGCAACAGGACGAACAGCGCGGTAGTAGTTAGAGATAGGAGTGGGGAGGGCTGTGAGAGAGGACGGAGGAGTAGACGGGAGAACGGACACAAGAGAAGGAGAACGACGACGAGATGAACAGAGGAGGGCAGTGTGAGGGTCAGTAACAGGGGACGAGTGACGAGCACGCGGAGGACAACGGGTGATCAAGTCGCGACAGACAGAAGGAGGAGGAGACTGAGGAGGAGGAGAAGACCAGACCGCCAGACGGTCGTCAGGAGGAGGCAACGGAGGAACAAACACAGGAGGAGACTGGGAGCGGACAGGAGGAGAGGAGGAAAGGCCAAGGGCCCGCAGGCCACTCACAGGTGGGAACAACTGCCGCTCCAAAGGAAGCTGCGGAGGCGGCTGCCGCTGCCGCTGCCGTGGCTGCGGCGGTGGCTGCGGCAACTGCTGCTGCAGCTGCGGCGGCGGCTGCTGCTGCTGCTGTTGCTGCCACTGCTGCTCCAGAAGGTCCAGCACCTGCAGCTCCTACCGCTCCTGCTCCTCACTCTCACGCCGACGGGCAGCCTGGAGACGCGTGTCATGGCGGTGGGGAGGTGGAGTGGACTCCGCAGAACCAGGGTCTCCAGCTCCACTCTCCTTAGACTCAGCACCCCCAAAACCAACACCTCCAATGTTAAGACCCCCAACTCCAGCACCCCCAGAGCTAGCGCCACCTGCACCAGCCCCTCCAGCTCCAGCACCCCGCAATCGAGCACCCCGAGACAGCGCACCACCAGCGGCTGCACCTCCAGCTCCAACACCAACCAAGTCCACAGGAACCTGTCGCGGAAGTGTCGAAGGCTGCTGAGGGGACCGTGAGGAGGACTGCGGGGAGGGAGACGCTACCTGACGCGCGACCGAGGGTAGAGGGGTAGCGTGGGACACACCAGACGGGGCAGGACCAGGGGGGGGCGGGGGTACCGGAGGAGCGGGAGTAGGAGGAGGAGAGGGTGCGAGGAAGAGAGGGGGAGGGGGTACCGGGAGACCTCGACAAGGGTACCGGCTGTAGTAGGACACGGACTCGTCAAACTGGACGTCACGGGAGTCTACGAACTGGTGGAGGGGAGGTTGGTAAAAGGACCAGTCAGCAGAGTCCACTGGGAAACCAAGGAAGACACAGGGGACGGCGCGTGCCGAGAGCTTGTCCGCGGAGGTGTCGCGAACAAGTGCAAGGCAGCCCAAGACTTGAAAGGCCGACCCAACACCAGGGGATCCAGTCCAGAGACTGGTCGGTGAAGCCTCAGGCCGCGAGACACGCGACTGGAGGTTCAGCTGGTGTGCGGCGTAGCGAACCGCGTGGGGCCACTGAAAATGGGGCGCACGGGCATGAATCATGGACGTGCGGGCGATGTCCATGACCAAGCCTATGCGGCGCTCAGCAAC